TTATGTATTTATTATTTTTAAATAACATATTACATTTAATTAAATTAATATATATATAAAATAGTTGAAGATTAAAATAAACATTTTTTTAAACGTACTTTTAAGATAGAAATTTCATATAAAATACATGCATTTTTTTTTATCTTCTCATGTTACTTGATGAATTATTGGAATGATCTTACATCTTACGATCTATTACAGAAATTATTATCTAATACAGAAATATTGCATGAATCAGAACGAATTTGATTATATAAATGTTTTAAAATTAAAAATAAAAAATTAATTGATTAATAGAGTAAATAGAATATAAATATAAAATAATATAGTATATAAATAAAATAAAAAAATTTTTAAAATAATATATATATAATAATATTCTATAGATATAAGAAATATTTCGTTTTATTATTTTTCGAAAAAATCTGTATCATAATTTAATGTGAAGCAAAATGGAACACAATTACCTTATCGTGGTTTGTAAATTATGAAATTAATATATATATATATTAATATATTGCAAAGAATATATTTACTTAATAATGTGATTAACCAACGTATATAATATTTATTTATAATGTAATTGACGAAATTAGTAAAAATTTAAAAAATAAAAATATTTGTGTTACACTTGAATTTTTGAAATAATATTATAACTATAATAAAATACAAATATCAAAATTATAATATATAATAATAATAATAAATAAGTATATAATATTTTGAAGTGAATTCAAAAATATCTATAATAAATTATTTATAATATTTAATTAATATTTAATAATACTTAATAAATTATTTATAAATATAAATTTAGCATTTTCATTTTAGTATTTGATTTTCTCCAAATATAATTGCATTCGTTAGAATCATAAATATTTATTATGATAAATTTACTTTCATCAGAAAATATAATAATATATTTCAGAAAATATTGTGTTTATTAATGTTTAATTTAATTTATTAATATTTTTTTCGCAAAATTTAATTTCTTTTTTTATTATCTTGTTAATGTATAGTTTCTTTTTTGCTATTCTAGTAAAAATTATTTTTCAAAAAGATTCTGTTTTTAAATTTTAAAACCAAAATCATTTTTATTTTATCTTTATATATAATAAATTAATAATTAAATCTTTTCTCTTTAATATCTTAACTTATTTGGACGATTTTTACAGACTTCATTTGCAAGATTTTCTATATTATTCCATTTTTTAATAATTTATTGAATCATCAATATTTTTATTAATAAGATTTCTAAACTATCTTTCTAAGATTTTCCTTTTTTATAAAATTTTATATATTTTTATAAGTATATTAATATATTATATATTTTTTATAAGTTATATTTTATATTTTAATTTCCGTTTGCACTTTTGTGTTTTAGATTTTTTCGAATGTATATATTATACATTCTAATAATAATATATAACTAATAAAATAGCTAATAAAATATTAGCATACGAAATTTGTTATAAACGTTTTAATATACTTTATAATACGGATCATCTCTAAACTATTCAAATATTTTTGTAACTTTTTTTTGCAATGAATCTCTGCAAATTTTCTCTAATTTCAACTTAAATATTTTTAAATTTTTTTGAAAGTATACATAATCTTGATACTTGATCTTATTATAATTATAATATTATTTTACAAATATGTTCTTTTTATTATCTTATTGTTAATATCTAATGATCAGAAAATCTTTGGGTTTGATTATTTTTTATATATATAATGCTAATCAATTATTTAATTAATTATTTTATGTATTATTTTATGTATTATTTTATATAATTCTAGCTTTATCTTATTTAATTCTAGAAGAATCATATTAAACATGTGGAAATAACTTCATTTATATTGTATAAGTATTGCGTATAATAGCTATTCAATTTTAAATGACTATTAGATATTTTTCGCTTGAAGTTTGGATTTTTATTTTTTTGATTTTCTATAGAAGCCGGGATGTTTTATATTCGATATAAAATTAAATATCGATTAAATATTCGGAAGAGGAGATACATGGATTGATTTTATGTATTACGAATTGTTTGCGGCGGTTATTTTATTGATAAAAAATGAAAGATAATTAATCCGAAATCATTAATCACTCTCAGATAGCAATCAAGTAATCGTGAGAAATCTGTATGCTTCGAGCAAAAAGTGTAATAAACAATTAAGTAATTGTAGCTAATTTGTAGAAGTCGCTCCAAATCTGACAAATTTGCAATAGAATGACTTCATAACTCACTGATACTATAGGATATTCTCAATAATAATGTTGAAACGTCCTATTTTAAAATAATATATAATATAAATCTAAATTTATATCAATTTTATTACACAATTTATATATATATATAATAATATGTGAATATATATATCAATAATAATAAATGAAAATCATTTCGAGTTGTATAATCATTGTAAGTGTCAAAATGAAAGTAATAGATGTAAGAGAGGATAGTTGTATCTTCAAAAAATATTTAATTTTTATATTTTCGTTTTTAATTCGATCCATCAATTAATGCGAACACGCGTGCTCGATCAAATATTTAATGGAATAATATGCATAGATTTTTTCGTGCATTGCGTATGAAACCGATAAAATATTATATATACTTATGTAATATATAATAGAGCATATAATTAAAATTATGCTATGTGATTTTCTGATAGTTATTTCAGATGAAAATTATGATTCGCGTTGTAACGTAAACTATGTAACGATTATTCCATTCTTACTATTGTATTTTTGATTATAGATTTAAATCATATTTAATTTTTTACATGAAAATCAAACTTTTTTTTTTCTCCTTGATGTTTATAGTATATCCTAAATATTTATAATATATATATCAATTTTTGACATATTAATTAGTAACATTTTTTTAAAAATTCTATAACGTTCCTTATTCATTTTCATTATTGTATTTATTTTGTCTACTAATCCTTATCACTATTATCATTTATTATATTATTTATATTATTTTTATTATTTAATAATTGAATTTATTTTAGTATTATAAAAAATCGAATTCACTATATGGTTTTTTCAAAATCATTCAACATTTATCTAATTATAAAATATTGTTTTGCTAAAATCATTATTTA